TCTTCCAAACCACAAGCCTGGGTAGTTATTACATCTAGTGTGTTGCTCAGTTTTTGCTTTCAGTGTCTTACATATTTCATTGTAAAGGTCGTTCATGACTTGGTTAAGTTTATTCCCAGTATATATTATATATGTGTGTATGTGTGTGTGTGTGTGTGTGTGTGTGTGTGTGTGTGTGTGTGTGTGTATGTATGTTGAATGGGATTGTTTCCTGCCTGAAAAGATGTGCTCATTTTTGCAATAGTGGTACAACTACTGTATTTGACACCCACTCCACAGACGGGAACTTATTATAAACCTGGTCAAAACTTACAACTGGGAAATCCTGGGCTCTAGTGGGGTATTTAACACTTTTGTTTAGCAATTTGACATTAAATTGCCTTCTAAATATCCATGATTATACCCATAGACAAATGTTACTCTCAGTTTATATCAGAGAAGCTTCTCTTTGCAGTGAACAATGGGGAATGCAAAGACTCATGGCTGCTCAAAGTACTGAGAATATGTGACAGATGAGTGTTCAGCCCTAATTAAGACATGACACTACCCCTCTGAGGCTCAAAGAACATCACAAAAAAGGGAAAGAATGTAAGAGTTCATGGGGTCCAACCTCTCCCTCCTGAACTATTGCTACTGAGTGTAGCACGAATACTAAAAGGTCTTATAAATAAAAACAAACCCAGAGACAAGCATTGGGGCAAACGGGAAAGATCAGAGAAACAGAACAAGTCACATCCAACCTCACCTTGCCAACTTCTCAGCTGATCTTGTTTCCTCAAACTGGAAGTCTCTGTGTCCTCATCTGAATGGATCTCAGCTGAACTGCTGCTTGAAAGCCTAAAAGCTTAGAAAGCCTAAAAAGCTTCTAGTTCCTGGTCTTTGTGCCTTATCTACCTTTCTGCTTCCTGCCATCATTTCCTGGGATTAAAGGCATGTGTCACCATGCCTGGCTGTTTCCAGTGTGGCCTTGAACTCACAGAGATCCGGATGATTCTCTGCCTCCTGAATGCTAGGATTGAAGACATGTGCTACCACTGCCTAAAACCATGTTTAATATAGTGACTGTTCTGTTCTCTGACCCCCAGATAAGTTTCTTAGGGTGCACAATATATCAACCACAACTGAGAGATTGTGGGAGAGGGAGAATCACTGCTCTCAGTTGTGTGCTCATTGATGAGCACACCTGGCTCCATTGAAGAGTTACAAACCCATAGTTACGCAGAGAGCCTTGATTCAGTTCAATGGATTTTAAACAATGGAAAGACAAGAATTTGGGAACTCGATTCTTAGGGAAGCAGGGATGATGACAGGAATGGAAGACAACAAGTGGGTGGAGATGAGAGTAATTAGGATGCATTGCATACATGGATGAAATTCTCAAAGACTAAATTTAATGAACAAAAATGTAAAATAAATAAATAACTTGCAAATAAAAATTGTGGGAAGTTGTGACCAGCAATGGCCCCTCTACATTTAACATGAGAATTTAATGAGTGGTCAGCCTAATTGTATTTTCAATAAAGAAGACTGTTTTTCTTAATACCCTGAGGTCCAGACAAGGAGTGGCCAACTTTACACAATCCATTTTCTATTGAGTCTGGATGAAGATTTTGTTCCTAGATAATGGGGTGACATTCCCTTCACTCATACTGATTTTCAACCTTTTCTTTCCCTATTTTCTAGTTGCTCTTTTTTTTTTTCTACTTCCCAGTTTAGGAATTTATTTGGCTCCTTTCTCCATTTAATGACTATATTTAAAAGAAGATTTGGCTATGTGCCTAGAGGCTCTTGGGTGTTGCGTGTCATATAAATGAAATTAATTACTAACTTCAGTGCCAGCATCAGGTCACTGGCATTAAAAGTTCAATTAAAAGAAAAACCAGAATGGTGAAATTTTCAACAAATGATAGTATTATTTTTGCATAAAATAAACCATATATACAAGTTAATAAAATTCCACATTTGTACAGTGTTTTTCTCTAATGGATTCATAAGCATTATTTCACACAGTTCTGATAGGAGCATCATTTATTGGCCATTTTGTATATCACCAACTTTACAAAGGTAGGAAACTATGCTTCAGAGACAATTGATCTACCACATGCTTTTTGTTCACTCAACAAATACTATGACCCTATGAAGTATCACATGTTGTACTTGTGCTGTGGGATGTTTTGTATGCTGTGAATATGTGTTGCTCTTATTGGTTGATAAATAAGGGCTGAGTGAGGAGTCACCAGCCAGACACAGAGGAAGCAAGATGTGAAGGCAGAACTGAGAAAAGGTATCAAGCCACATGGCTAAACATAGATAAGAATTATGGGTTAATTTAAGTGTAAGAGCTAGTCAGTAATAAGCCTGAGCTAATGGGCAAGCAGTTATAAATAATATTAAGTCTCTGAGCATTTACTTGGGTCCAAGCAGCTGTGGGTCCAGCAGGTGAGAGAGATTTGTCCTGACTGCAGGCTGGCCAGGACACAGAAAAACTTCCAACTACACACAATTTTGCCCAGTACTGAAATGCTTCCTATGGTGCAGATGTTCAGTGCCGAGGTGGGACCATCCTAGTCAACAAGGATACTTGGTCTCACCACACAAGTCTCATCATTCTGTCAGCACACTACCATTCAGGTCACAGAGTGGTAATCTCTATCTTTCTCTACTCTTGTCTCATGATGGATACCTCCCTCTGGACTCCACCTCCTGCAGTCCACTCAATATTCTCTGAAAGGCTGCCACCAAAACCAGTTCTCCTCACTCCCTAACTTGTCTTCCATTTCTCCAACTCAAGGTGAGTTGAGAAGCCAGAACCCATGTTTAAATCCATAGCTGCAACATGATGGCTTAGGCATATGGATGTATGGCTGAAATATATCTCCCCTCTTCCTGACTGTTCCATCAAGTATTCAAATAGGCAAAATCTCAAATGCAAAATTTTATTTTTCTTTACAAGCACTTCCACCTTTTAATTTCCCTATATCTGTTGCTAGTCAGTACCATTGTCTGGGTTCCTAAACCCAGGCTCAATCACCCTGAGGCAAGGCTATTCATCACACCTAATGCACTACTAGTTCTGAGCAAGAATCCTTCAGAACATGTCTCATATCCATCCTTCCATTTGTTTGCCCATTGTTAGTGTCTTAACTAAAGTCATCCCTGCCTCTTTTGACTCCCCTTCAAGTATGCTCCATGATCCAACTTCTTCTCCTCCCATTTACTCAATTTAAACTAGGCTACTCTTAGGTTAAAATGCACTTTAATCTTAATTCTTAATGTTGTTTTCTATAAGCAAAACACAATTAACCACTTCTTGTGGAGTCCCTTCCTCTCTTTAGTTGTGTTTTTCCTCAGAAGTACGTTTTTCCCCTTCAAACTTTCATTTATCTTTCAATCCAATCATTAATTTCAAAGTATTGCAGATATTTTTTTCTAGTTTCAAAAGCATGTAAGTAGTCTCCTTTGAACTCATTGACTTTGTTCCTCTGTGTGACTCACCTCACCTGCTTCCTGGTATAATTATTTTTATCTTCTTCTGTCTTCTGAGTAGATTATCTACTGTAGACCCAACATGGATGGCTCTGATTCATTCCACTCTCCCTATTCAACCCAGCAAGGTGCTCATTAAGTTATCATTCAAGTTTAAATTGCTCAGCTCCTCCTAGTTTTAAAACTTTTCAATACATTTTGCTAGATATATATATATATATATATATATATATATATATATATATATATATATATATATATATACACACACACAAATGCATTTTCAAATTATGTATACATGCATATGTATGTATGTAATTTAAAAATACATTCCCTGATCATTATTGTATCAATATACATACCAATCCACCAATCTTTTTATTACTTTCCTTGCAAAAGAGGCTTTATGTCAAAGAAACTATTCCTGACAAGACAATCATTTATATTCAGAAAATATACTTTAATTGAGGAATTTTTCAGGTGGTTGATACTGAATTGGCATTAAAATATATAAAGGAATCCTCTTTGGAGACTAAATTGTTTCTCCCCATTTGGAGAGGCCACAATGCAAGCATGACATCATGAAGCTGAAGAGTTACTCATTTTAGATTATATTTGTGTGGTAGAACATCTTTTTTAAAGCACCTCTACTTTGGGCCCTGAAATATTTTACCAAATTGAGGTAGAAATTGTTGACACTTTATAACTAAAAATTTTATCACAGTGTTTGTTTAGCCTTTATACGGAAACTTTGAAAAATAGCAAGGTTGAAAAGAAATAGACATTTTTCACGATGTTCTCAAATTGTTCTCTCAAAGGCTTTAGTCTGCACTTGAACCTGAAAGCAAGATTAATGAGAAAAACACAGCCGTATCATATCATGCTTTCCCCACTCCTCCCCTTCCAATCTCTCTCTTCACGGTGAAGTTTCTTCCTTTATGCCCCAACACTTTGGGGACTCCTACCTCAGACACCTCTGTCAATGCTGAGAACGAAAACTCTACCTTTGCATCTTCATTGCCCTTTTCCCTTGATCTGAGCTGAATTACATGAGGAAAGGGAGATGAATTAGTGACCCAGGCATGTGACATCTAATATCTGCTGCTTTCAGATTTGGGGTTTGATTTAGTGCCTATTGGAGAGTTTGAAGAAACTGTCTTCTATCTTCTTTAAATAACATCACCACTGTATCATTTACCTTCCTTGGCAATTTCATGATTGAGGACAATGGGTTTCTTTCAGTTGTGATATTTTGACTTTCCCTTCCCTCTAGCATTCATAAGCAAAAACATTTAGTTTGGTCATTTAAGCAAGACAAAAGTGATGACTGATAACAAGATGTGTGTTCCTTGTCATTATTCTATTTATAGACACAAAATGAAAAACAAGGTAGTTTTCCATTTTATATTTAAATAATGACCTGCTCCATCTCTTTTTCAACACAAATGTACTATCTGCTCTTAGAGACATGTCTTGATAATGCATTGATTGATGGGAGACATTTTTCATTACAGAAAAAATGGAATAAAGAGACATAGTGGACAACTTCTGTTTGGCAACATGGCACTGATATGGCTATCTGCCATGCTCAAGAGAACCCATGTTGGACAACCAGGGACCTAGGAGTCATTCTAAACTTGCTGACCACAAATATCCAAGAATCCCAAAAAGGTAAAATGTGATATAATCTGTTATGTAACCATTTGTGTGATTCTGTTTAAACACAGCCTGGAGGTCAGAGACCTGAGCTTTTACCTTTTATCTAATTCCTGGCCAGCCTACCAGTCTGTGTCTGCCTATAAACCTGTATGTTTACCTCTAAGTGGCGTTTGTGCGTATGTATTCCCACCTTCAGCTGACTTACATGTGCTGGCATGCCTGGGAGCCTACCAGCACCAATCTGCCAGCAGTCTGTGTGGTAGCTATCATCCAGAGTGAATAAAATATGTCTTATCTCCCTACAGCTCCTTACATTCTCTTCTACCCCTGGGGACTCTCCTTCTTTCCTGGCTTTGAATTTGGACATCATTATTGGTTGAAGGGCATTTTTTCCTAATTGGTGCAGAAGCACCATGTAGGCAAACTGTAGCTTGGCCCCGAGGAGCTGATGAAGGTTTCTGAGCACATGGTAGAAACAGAATGAAAGTAGGATTAGAGATGCATGAATAGAAGACCCCTGCTAATCCAACATTTACATGCATTTACAGTCAATGGATGATGAGAAGGGAGGTTGAAAACATGCTTGGGCTGGGCAGTGGTGGGGTACACCTTTAATCCCAGTACTCAGGAGGGAGAGCTAGGTGGATCTCTGTGAGTTCGAGGCCAGCCTGGTCTATAGAGTGAGATCCAGGATCGGCACCAAAACTACACAGAGAAACCCTGTCTCAAAAAAAAAAAAAATGGTTGTAGGAAAAGATGCTTGGGTATCTGGTAGAAAAGACTCAGAAGCAAATGCCTTACTGGGACAGTTATTGTGTAGTGAATGAGTCCTGATGGATACCAGAACTAGGACTGCGTTATCTTATGTAGAGGCAATGCTGGGCGACAGGTGGCATACGATGCTTGTGAAGCAGAACATAAGCTAGTGGATGGGATGGGTGTAGCTAGAGTTTTCCTGCCTGGTCCACAGTCAGGGCAAATCTCTCTCACCCGCCAGTCCCAAGCCCGCCGCCATGTTGGGAAGCTGAGGTGGGCGGAGTCAGCAGCCACAGCTGCTGCAGCTTAAAGCAACAGATTCACAATAAGACAGATTCAGATGTAATAGTTTAAAATGTGTGTAAAATATACGTAGGCTTAAAAGAGACAAAAAAAGGTGATATATACAGTATAGAAACAAATACATAGTTTTAAAAAATAAAGTCTTTAAAGAGACAGTAAAATTAATATAAAAAATAAGCCACGTAAAGATGAATATTACACAGAGAAGGCGGGACTAACAGAGAGGAGAATTGAGAGAACAGGAAGCTGGGTGAGGGAGACACTGCCAGCCGCCATCAGGATAAGGAAGATGTAAGGTACCGGTAAGCCACAAGCCACGTGGCAAGGTATAGATTAATAGAAATGGATTAATTTAAGCTGTAAGAACAGTTAACAAGAAGCCTGCCACGGCCATACAGTTTGTAACCAATATGAGTCTCTGTGTTTACTTGATCGGGTTTGAGCGGTTTGGGACTGGCGGGTGAGAGAGATTTGCCCTGACTGTGGGCCAGGCAGGAAAACTCAAGCTACAGATGGGTAAGTTCCAGACAATTCTGCAGAAGAGGGCATACTCTCAGTTTAATGAAAGACCCACAATGCAATGAAAGATGGCAAAGACATGCCACAGCTGCCAACTGTGTCCTTGGAAAGAACGGTCCTTCCTGTTGCTGACTTCTTCACTCTATGGATGCTGATAGGAAGAGGGGTCTCTGTCAAAATGATGCTATTGTGATCCTGGAAACCTTTGAGCTACTCTCCTCTATGTCTCATGGGGATGGCCCCTTGCTTCTCCACTCACTTGACCCTTCTCTCCACTGACGTGCCTGCTCCTTTATTGTAGGTATTAACTATTTTACAGAAATATTAAAAGTGAACTTCTTTCACCTTCTTCTACAACAATCATTCATTCGTCTAATTAGTATTGATTAAAGGTTTGATTTGCATCAGGAACAGTACCAAGTATTGCTTCTAAACAGATGAACAAAGACATGGTTGTTTTCACTTATCAAGTGACCTATAAACTCAACTACATGCATTCCTCATTTCTTTCTGTTTCAATAATTCTTCTTAAGTCGTGTTATATCCTAGATTAAGTGTTCTGTCTAACAAAGTTCCCTGAACAATTGTGTGTTTGTGTGTGTGTGTGTGTGTGTGTGTGTGTGTGTGTGTGTGTGTGTGTATGCACACATGCATCTGGAGGTATGGATGTGTTGGGAGGTATGTTTGCCCATGTAGGCACATATGAAGGCCAGAAGTTGACATCAAGATTTTGTTCTCAGAAAGCTCTATATTGATTTCCAAAGTGGTTGGACAAGCTTGCATTTCCACCAGCAGTGGAGGAGCGTTCCCCTAACTCCACATTCTCTCCAGCATAAGGTGTCTTCAGTGTTTTTGATCTTAGCTATTCTGACAGGCGTAAGGTGGTATCTCAGAGTTGTTTTGATTTGCATTTCCCTGATGATTAGGAATGTTGAGCAATTCCTTAAATGTCTTCCAGCCATTTGAGTTTCCTCTGTTGAGAATTCTCTGTTTAGTTCTATAGCCCATTTCTTAATTGGACTGTTGGGCATTTTGATATCTAATTTCTTGAGTTCCTTATATATTCTGGATATCAGTCCTCTGTCAGATGTGGGGTTGGTGAAGACCTTTTCCCATTCTGTAGGCTGTCGCATTGCCTTGTTGACTGTATCCTTTGCTCTACAAAAGCTTCTCAGTTTCAAGAGGTCCCATTGATTGATTTTTTTTCTCAGTGTCTGTACTATTGGTGTTATATTTAGGAAGTGATCTCCTATGCCAATGTGTTCAAGACTACTTCCTACTTTCTCTTCTAGCAGATTCAGAGCAGCTGGATTTATGTTGAGGTCCTTGATCCACTTGGACTTAAGTTTTGTGCACGGTGGTAGATATGGATCTATTTGCAGCCTTCTACATGTTGATATCCAGTTATGCCAGCACCATTTGTTGAAGATGCTTTCTTTTTTCCATTGTACACTTTTGGCTTCTTTGTCAAAAATTATATGTTCATAGGTGTGCAGACTAATGTCAGGGTCTTCAATTCGATTCCATTGGTCCACATGTCAGTTTTCATGCCGGTACCAAGCTGTTTTTATTACTGTAGCTCTATAGTAGAGCTTTAAGTCAGAGATCATGATGCCTCCAGAGGTTGTGTTATTGTACAGGATTCTTATGGCTATCCTGCATTTTTTGTTTTTCCATATGAAGTTGAGTATTATTCTTTCCAGGTCTGTGAAGAATTGTGTTGGTATTTTGATGGGGATTTCATTGAATCTGTAGATTGCTTTTGGTAAGATTGCCATTTTTACTATGTTAGTCCTGCCTATCCATGAGCATGGGAGATCTTTCCATTTCCTGACATCTTCTTCAATTTCTTTTTTCAGGGACTTAAAGTTCTTGTCATATAGGTCCTTCACTTACTTGGTTAGTGTTACCCCAAGGTATTTTATGTCATTTTTGGCTATTGTAAAGGGTGATGTATCTCTGATTTCCTTCTCAGCTTCTTTGTGCATTGTATATAAGAGGGCTACTGATTTTTTTGAGTTGATCTTGGGCATATACCCAAGGAATGCTCAATCATACCACAAGAGCACTTGTTCAGCTATGTTCATATCAGCATTGTTTGTAATAGCCAGAACATGGAAACAACCTAGATGCCCTTCAACTGAAGAATGGATAAACAAAATGTGGTACATATACACAATGGAATACTACTCAGCAGAGAAAAAAAATGACATCATGAGGTTTGCAAGCAAATGGATGGATCTAGAAAAAAATCATCATGAGTGAGGTAACCCAGACTCAGAAAGACAAACATGGTATGCACTCACTCATAGGAGGATACTAGATGTGGAACAAGGATGACTGGACTGCTACTCACATCATCAGGGAGGCTACCTGGAAAACAGGACCCCAAGAAAGACATGGGGATCGCCCAATGACAGAAAAATGGAATGAGATCTACATGAACAGCCTGGACATGAGTGGGGGTAGTGAAGGGCCTGGGTGGAGGAAAAGAGAGCTTGGGGGAGCGGGAGATCCCAGCTGAATCAACAACAGAGAGGGAGAACAAGGAATAGGAGACCATGGTAAATGAAAACCACATGAGAATAGGAAGAAGCAAAGTGCTAGAGAGGCCCACAGAAATCCACAAAGGTACCCCCCACAACAGACTGCTGGAAATGGTCGAGAGACAGCCCAAACTGACCTACTCTGGTGATGGGATGGCCAAACACCCTAATTGTCATGCTGGAAACCCCATCCAATGACTGAGGGATCTGGATGCAGAGATCCATGGCTAGGCCCTGGGTGGAGCTCTGGGAGTCCAATTAGCGAGAAAGAGGAGGGTTTATATGAGCGAGAATTGTTGAGACCAAAGTTGGATAAAGCACAGGGACAAATAGCCAAACGAATGGAAACACATGAACTATGAACCAATAGCTGAGGGGTCACCAACTGGATCAGGCCCTCTGAATGGGTGAGACAGTTGATCGGCTTGATCTGTTTGGGAGGCATCCAGACAGTGGGACCAGGTCCTGTGCTCATTGCATGAGTTGGCTGTTTGAAACCTGGGGTCTATGCAGGGTCCCTTGGCTCGACCTGGGAGGAAGGGACTGGACCTGCCTGGACTGAGTCTACCAGGTTGATCTCAGTCCTTGGGGGAGGCTTTGCCCTGGAGGAGGTGGGAATGGGGGGCGGACTGTGGGGAAGATGAGGGGGGCGGGAGGGGGGAGAAGAAGGGAATCCGTGACTGATATGTAGAACTGAATTGTATTGCAAAATAAAAAAAAAAAGAATAAAAAAAATTAAAAAATAAAATAAAATAAGCATGGTGAAAAAAAAAAGATGTTGTTCTCAATCACTTTTCCACATCATTATTTGTTTGTTTGTGTATGAGAGATTCTCTCCTCCTAAACTTTGAGGTTCCTTCCTTTTTCTGAGAACCTATTGTCACCAGT